AAAAACAACAACAAAACAACTGTCTTGTGCTTTCAAGGAATACATGTCCTCCATTCTACTATATACAGCCTTTTCTTAAGTTTGTCTTCTTCCAAGTTCCGGAGCTGAAGTGGCAACTCATGATGCAGTCACTCACTCAAAAGCCTGTCTATCTGGGCCCTCCAGCTGTGGCCGTTTACTAGAACTTATTTATTTTCTGCTTAAAGAGGTTTGGATGTGTCTCTCTGGAAGTATCACCTTCTCAAGGCAGGAGTTCATCTGTCCATTTAATTCATCTACACTTGGACAAATTCAGGCAAGCAAATTTATAGGCACATCTCCAGCCATCCAGAGTCATTTTAGTGCATATTCTTGTAACTTTGTGTTTGCCCAGTACATCTTTTAAGTAATTGAATCTACTTACATCATCTTGTAGCTTTTTAGGTGGGTTTTTTTTTCTAAGCTTATTATGTCCTAAAGCACCACACTGAAAAGTAATGCCTTGACATATGCTTTATTTCACAATTCTACTTTTGCCCACAGGTCCCATTGCAGAAGATGAACGGTCACCAACCAGAGATCCAGACAAGGGCCTCAGGATGTGATATCTGGAAGTTTTTCTGGCATGGGAAGGGGTACCATTTTTCTGGGGGAAGGCAGGTACCATTCTACACAGCATCATGGGATTGGTAGATTCTATGACATGGATGTTTCTTGGAAATAGTGGGGTCCTGCTTGTAGAACGCTGCTACTATCACCTTCCAGCTTCGAGGGCCATACACAACGCATCTCTTGAGGTGTCTGTCAACTCACAATGTATTTCAAAAATATTAGAACACTATAATGTGTACGCCTGATGACATATGAACTGAAGAAAATGTGTATAAAACATCTTCCAAACATAAAGGAAATGTTTGGTTCTGTATGTGATAATGGTCTCTTCATATTATTTGAGTTCAAAGATGTTGTATTTGAGTCTTTAACTCAAAAAAGAGCTGTGATAACTGTTCTGTATTAACCTGTGGAGGCTTCTTAATTGCTAGCTTAATTTCATCTGAAGTGGAAACAAGTAGTGGACTATGGAGACCTTTGTCTCTGGCCCATTGGGTTGGGTTGTGCCTTAGTTACTGTTCTATTGCTGTGATGAAACACCACGATCAAGGCAGCTTATAAACGGAAGCATTTAATTGGGGTCTTGATTACAGTTTCAGAGGGTGAGTCTACGACCATTATAGTGGGAAGCACGGGGGCAGACAGGTAAGCATGGGACAGGAGCACTAGCTGAGAGTTGCCATCTGGACAAAAGGTGGAGGCAGAGGAGAGGGAATGAGACCGGGCCTCCATGGGCTTTTTAAATATCAAAGCCCATCCCCAGTGACACACATCCAAGAAGGCCACACCCAATCCAACAAGGCCATACCTCTAGTCCTTCCCAAACAGTTCCATTAGCTGAGAACCAAGCATTTACCACCATGGGTTGCTTCGATGCTGCTCCTGTCTAAGCCCCATGGTTTCAGATCCAGGCATCTCCCCTGTAACTCCAACCTCGTGGGCTCACTTTGCTGTTGATCTTGGTAGTTCTAGGCCTAACACACAGCTTCCCTTCTCATGGGGGGGGCACTGCCTCAGGAGTGCCAAATGTAAACAGAGTGCTGGTGTTGGTTGGGTCTTAAATGTCCCACCAAACCTCCTGACGCATCATGTAGCAGTGTTCAGAGCTGCACTCTAGTGAGATGTTGGCATCCCAAGAGTCCTGATATTGACATGTATTAATTCATTCACGGCCTCATAGTCTAATGGGAAGTGAGGGGTAGTTGGAAATGCTCCACCACCCCTGGCCTTCTGCCTTTCACAGCACTGGAGTCTTCAGCACGCAGCAGTGTAGCCTACTGATTGCCTCATGCAGCATCAGATGGCACTCCAAGAGAATGGCTCAAATCCGGGAACTTTGGGGATGATCAGTTACAAAAAGCACTGCTTGGGGAACAGAATAGGAGCCTTGAGAGTACACAAGGTGGCTTACCCTTGCAATCCCTTCCTTGGGGAGGCTGAGGCAGGGGGATCATGATTTTGAGACCATTTTAGACTAGACTTCCACATCTGCCTAGAATAAAAAAGCCATTTTTCCTCTTGTAGTGCCTGCAACTGATGCTGCATGAGAGTAATCGACTATGTCAAACTATGCATTCAGAGGAAGGCCTTGTCTAAAATGACAGGATTTTGATTTTATGTATATGGGTGTTTTACCTGCAAGTATGTCTGTGTACCACATGCATGCTTGATGCCTTTGGAGGCCCAAAGAGGGAGTCAGATCCCCCGGAATTAAGGTTATAGATGGGTGTGAGCTGCCATGTGGATGCTGGGAATAGAACCCAGATCCTCTGGAGGAGCAGCCAGTGCTCTTAACCACTGAGCCATCTCTCCAGCCCCAAGATAAAGTACAGTTGGGCATCACAAGCAGGCCTTAGCAATGGCTCAGCAATGTATTCCTAAATTGTGAATGACCAATTTCCATTTCCTCAGCTGTAGCTTGAGTATTAGATTTCCATTATCTGAAGGATTAAGTAAGTACAATGTTTGCAAAAATGATTAAGGGTTCTGTGTACACTGTACCAACGTGAAGGAGACAAACATCTGACATCAAAAGAGAAAGCCTGATGACTGTTAAAAGGTAACCACAAGTTAGTCTGGATAGTTACCTTAAATATCTTTTAAAAATGATAGGGAAAAGCCTGAAGGGAGAAGAAAAGGGACTGATTTGATTAACTTTTCCCACCATTTATCCACCGGATGCACAATTACATAGATCTACCACTCTATCTCAGGACACACTCTGCCTTAGAGAAGACCCTTCACCAATGACTCTTCAGATGACTGAATCAGAGGGAGTAATGTGGTCGGGGATCCTCAAAGACGCCTCTGCCTCTGCCTGAAATTGGCTTTAGCTGAATGGTTACTTCTCCCTGACCCTGGTGGGTTCATATGGACCAATACTTGTCCAATTACAAAAAAACAAACAAAAAACCTGCAAGATAAATGTGATTAAGAAACAAAATTTGACCGGGCGGTGGTGGCGCACGCCTTTAATCCCAGCACTCGGGAGGCAGAGCCAGGCGGATCTCTGTCTCTGTGAGTTCGAGGCCAGCCTGGTCTCCAAAGCGAGTTCCAGGAAAGGTGCAAAGCTACACAGAGAAACCCTGTCTCAAAAAACCAAAAAAAAAAAAAAAAATTGGTATTTATACAGAGGGAAACTTCACTTTTCCTCATATTTAAGGATCTGGACATGAGTTATTCCAAAGAAAGGATGGTAGTAAATATACAAGAGTAGACCCAGGTGTTGTAAGAATGGACATTCTCCCAAAGCTTGGTGGCACAAGTCTACAACGCCAGCATTAAGGAAGCTGAGGCAGGAGGCTCACCAAAAATCTAAGGCCAGTCTGGGCTATCGTGTGAGACCATGTCTCAAGTAAGCAAGCAAGCAAGCCAAATTCTGGTTCTCCAATAAGTCACACAACATCTCAATTATAAGAGACCAGAGTGAATGGGGGAAGAAAGGAAGTGATCAGAAATTAGCAAGAAAGCTAGAACTCAGCAGGTGTGGCCAGAATCACTCGAATGACCCTAGACAAGGTCTTGAGTGTGCACCTCAGTTTCCCATCTGGCAAACATCTGCCTCACTGGTTTATTACAAGAAAGCAATCAAATAATGTAGCTAGCTAGTAAAATAAGTGGTTGGAAGCACCTGACAGTCATAAGAACTGGGTGGTAGATCACTATCAATTTAATGCAATATAACTCATCAAATATTGACTGAGCCCTCACTATTTGCCTAGGATTGTATTCCTGGTGCTGGAATTGAAAGGGTCTGAGTAAGATGTCAGGTTAATGACTTGAACAGGATAACAGGAATGAAGGCAGTTTGGGCCTGTATTAGAGGGATTTTATTATATATATAAATATATGTGTATATATGTTATATATTCATAGGAGGTGCTCTAACCATTAGTCTGTGTTGCTCTAGTTCTCATTTCTTCCTTCCGTCCTCCAACTATTCACTCAGGTTCCTATAACTCATGACACATATGGTGTTGTCTTATTCTATTGCTGTGAAGAGAAACCATGACCATAGCAACTCTTATAGAAACATTTAATTGAAGTGGCTTACATTTTCAGAGGTTTAGCCCATTATCATCATGGTGCAACATGGAGGCATGCAGGCAGACATGGTGCTGGAGCAGGAGCTGAGTGTCCTACATCTTGACTCACAGGCAACAGGAAGTAGTCTGTCTCACTGTGCATGGCTTGAGCACATATGAGACCTCAAAGCCCACCCACACAGTGACACATTTCCTCCAACAAAGCCACACCTCCTAATAGTGCTGCTCCCTTTGAGGGCCATTTTCTTTCAAGCTACCACAGGTGTCTCGAGGACTTTTGTGACATAGGCAGTCTATTAGGCAAGAGGAAGCTGCAAGTGGACATTTCTAAAGCATGTAAAATACCACAGAGCTGTGTAGACCAACATTGGAGGGAGTGAGGATGAGCTACAGGAGAGGAATTGGGTCAAGGTTCCTTGCCGGAGGCACAGCTTAAGGAAAGCATTGGAGGAACCACACCTGCCCAACATGCAGTCCTGTCTTCTTTAAAGGAAAGAAATGGCTGATGCCTAGTCACCCAGAAGGCTGGAGTGAATGTTGTCTGGCAACCCGGTGATTTTTCTTATTTTTCTGTTCTCAGGAGCCAGGCTTCCTGAGTCCTCCAAAATCCAGGCCCTAATCCTGAGCTTCGTCTCCCAGCAAATAGAACCCATTCTTATGAACGAGGTCCCATGTACTTTGCAGCATCCACCAACAGAATCTGCTTATTACAAATCCTTCCTCTTTAGCCCCTTGCCCCGAGCACTGTCTAGCAGTCAACAGAACTCATGCTTTTTCTTTTTTTTTTTTTCAGAGCTGAGGACTGAACCCAGGGCCTTGCGCTCTACCACTGAGCTAAATCCCCAACCCCAAAGAATTCATTCTTATTGTAAAGGTCACACATGCTTTGCTACCATGCTAGGGAGTTTCTATGTAGTGATGCCTAAAGCTTTATTGCGATCACTGTCATGTGGAAACCTTTCTCCTTTCTGCGTTTAAATGTGTACGAAAAATACAGAGGTCGAACTCTGGAAGTTTGGACGCAGCATTTGCAAAGGTGGTGCCGACCATCATGCTTCACCTTGCACAGATCATTTCCCTGAAGTCCTTGAAGCTTGCGGGAGTCCCTGCCAGTTCCTGATGGGATGATGCCCACAGAAAATGAAAGTCAGCTGGGTTTGGTGTCAGAGGCCTGTGTTTCCAGCAATCAAGAAGGGGAAACAGTTGGATTACAAGTTTAAAGCCTGCCTAGGCTACAGACTGAATTCCAGGTCAGCCTGGGCAGCTTGGTATGAACCTTTCTCAAAATAACTAAATTGGTCTGGGGATGTAGTTCAAGGGCAGTCTTTATTTGCTATGTGCGAGTCCTGGGTGCCATTCTCAATTAACCCCCACCCAAACAAAACGAAAGAACAGAGAAAAGGCATTTCAGACTAGGAAATGTCATATGCCAGATAGGGTGCAGCTTTCCATATTAACATGCTCTTTTTAGCCTTTGTGGTGTTTTTCCAAGTCTCTCAGATTTATCTTTCACACCTCAGAAAATAAAGGTTAGGCCTTGGTAAGAGGGTCCTTAGATTTTGTTTAGGTTTTTTTTTTCCTGGATAGGTCCATATTAGGGCAAAAAGAAAATGGTAGCTTTGGAAAATCAAGTATTTTTAGGGATCTGACCAAAAGTTCCATCTTTTGCCCTAGCAAAAATTTCTGAAAATTTTACACATTATTTATTCATCCAGGGCATCAGTGCCTCAGGCATCTGGTAGCCTAGGCCATGTGATATCAGGGAGAGTCCAGCAGAGGGAGACAGAGGCTAAATAAGGTGTGGACCCCGGATGACTTAACTCAGGTCTTCACAGTTTTTGAGTAAATGAGGATACAGAGCCACTCTATCCAACCTTTTAGCCCGCCCAGTGTTGAATACAAGTCGTCTGAATATGTTAAGGATAGGCTGACTAATGCGTTTTCAACTTCGGAAAACTGCATGTAACCCCATCCTCAACGGACGTGCCTAGTTTAGTCTGTGCTTGGAAACAGGCATCCACCACCTGCACACGGTGATGAATGGCGGCAGAAAAGTAGGAGCCAGTGGAACGTGAGTGTAGGTCACGCGCCTAGTGGGGGACCGGATTTACTTTGTCACCAAATACAGCTGTCCGTTTCCTCATCCTTCCTAGCCTTCTCTGTGAGGCCACAAACACTTTGAACTGCCAAATACTCTTTGGCAGGGTGACCGGCTGGCCTCTAGTCACCTGCAGCATTTCCCAGGCCTGTATGCGGCGCTCAAGCCAAGGGACAGCCGAGGTAAGTCCCTGAGCTAGCTCCTGCGACACCCGTACAGCGGCTGGGGACTTGGTAGGAAGAGATGGCTGCAAGGCGGGCCGTCCGTTGTCCCTTGGGATTGGGCTCCTGGCGGCTGGGCGGGATTCCGGCTATGATATAAGAGAGCAGAGAGCCACTGTCCCAGCTGCAGCGCTGAAGGTGGAGCTGTGAAAGGGAGATCATCAGTTGTGCTCTTGCAATCAGACCCAGCGAGACTGAAGAAGACAAGGTCTAATTTCTATATATATATATTCATGTACTTAGTTTTGATAACTGGAAGGCAGGGTGGATGTGAAGATACGCCAAAGGCTCGTGCTGACCCGGAGCCCTAGACGTTTGGGATCTAGAACTAGAGGATCTAGAATCTAGTATTTCAGAGGATCTAGGGAGGGATCCACTGGACTCCAGGCGCCCAAACTCAACTGTTTTTCTCTGTGTTGCAGGCACGCTTCCATCCGCCACGCTCAACCCCAGGCTACGAGGATGAGGCTCCTCAGTCGACTCCGCTCCTCCGCTCCTGAGCCCGCCTTCTCCAACGTGCTCACCCCGGGCCGCATCCCTGAGTTCTGCATCCCCCCGCGGCTGCCGGTCCCCGGCGTTGCCGAGTCGCCGCATGCGGCCGCCGCACTGCCTTGGCGCTGCGCGGCCGAACCCGACCTGTGGCCGCGCACCCCAACCGACCACGACGATAACGAGTACGACCACGCGGGTCGCACCGACTGGGACCCGCGCTCACAAGCCGCACTCTCGCTGCCGCACCTGCCCCGCGCACGCACCGCCTACGGCTTCTGCGCGCTGCTCGAGAGCCCGCACACGCGCCGAAAGGAGTCGCTCTTCCTCGGCCACCCAGGAGTTCCCCGGCCCGGACTTCGCCGCCGCGCGCACACCTACGCGGGCCCGCGGCCAGCCTCGGACTCTGCGCGTGCCGCCCCGATTGATCTGGACACTGCCCCGCCACCTGCTCCTGTGCCCCGCGTGCGTCGCCTCCTGCGCGCCTCGGATGGGCTGCTGAGCCGCGCGCTGCGGGCCCCTCGAGGTCGGGCCAGTGCGCGCCCCGCGCCCAGTGGAGACAAACAGGAGAGCGCCGCCTCCTGCGCGCCCCCGGACCCCACCGACCCGGATCCCAAGCGCCTGCAAGCCGAGGCCAGCGTGGCTCTGGGCCGCGGGGATTGCACGCTGCGCCTGGCCGCCGAGTACTGTCCGCGCAGCGCGTGTCTCCGCCTCCGCCTGCTGCGCGCTGAGGGTCCGGCCGCCGCGCTCGAACCCCGAGCCCTGGGCTGCCGCCTCAGCCTGGTGCTGCGGCCGTCGGGCCAGCAGCGCGCCAGCGTTTTCCGACGCAGCCGCAAGGCCGCCCTGGACCAGGACTGCTGCTTCGATGGGCTCTCGGAGGAGCAGCTGCGCCGCCTGGCCGTGCGCATCAAGGCTGAGAGCAAGGGTCGAGGGCTGGAGCGTGGAAGGCCGCTGGGCCAGGGTGAGCTGCTGCTGGGCTCGCTGCTGCTGCTCTGAGCCCTGATTCCGTGGGGCCATGGACACTGAAGGTCGCTTGGCCCTGAGATGCTCACACTCTTGACTTTGGGACATTCAGAGCCTCTTGGACGCTGACAGTGCTTTGGCCCTGGGGCACACACAACCTCTTGGTTCTGGTACACTTTCCCTTTTGTACAAAATAAAAGTTATTTATTTTTCTATGTATGACCTTGCAGTGTTGATGTTTTGATTCCTTGGCCTCCACTTTTCTCGTCGCTTTTTGGTAGCAAAAGAAAAAGTAATAGCTTTCTCCGGTCTATTCACACACTCGATCGATCCTCTTTCAGACCATTATAATAGTCAAAAGGAAACAAACCAAACCAAACCAAAACAAAACAAAACAGGTTCTCCCTGGAGAGGAAGAGTGAGACTGGTCGCACACTCACGTGCTTGTTTTTCCTGTTCCCCTGCTTTGTGGGAACACTGAGAGGTTCACGTGGCTTTAAAAAAAAAATTCATTCATTCATTGGTAAAGTGCTCACAATGCAGGCGTGATGTCCTGAATTCTGTCCCTGGAACCCATCTTTTAAAGAGCTTCCCGCACGGGGGAGGCAGACAGGCAGACAGATCCCCGGGCTTGGCTGACCTGCCAATCTAGCCTCCTTGGTGATCTTCAGCCCAGTGGGAGACCCTGTCCCAGAGAGCCAGGTGGATGGAGATGAAGAACAGAGGTTCTAACTTGGCAGGCAGTTGTGCACACGCGGTTGATTATTCTTTCAAAATCATCCCAGACATTAATCTCCATCACAGCGTTTTTCATAAGTGGTACTCACTCTCTCAGTTGTATGTACATCTAATCCCGGGAGAGGCCCTCCTCTGTTCCAAGGACATGTTGGTGAGGAGAGGATCCTGAGAAGCAGCAGGACCTGTTTGTAAGAGAATTCTTCACACACGGTAGGAGCAGAGGCAAGAGAAGAATGTGGGACCTTGAGGGGATGGTGGAGATGGGCATTCCTTTTGTTTCTTCATTGAGGGATCTTTCTGGCCTCTCTAAACAAATTGTTTTTGTGGCCTTGTTCCCATCCAGCTGTGTGTTTAAGTTACAGTAGGACTTCCTAGATGAGTTAAAATCAGTTGTCAATTTCTTGAACTGTGGGTTCTGAGAGTTTTTTTTTAAAGGTTTATTTTTATTACTTTTGGAAATTATGTATAGGTGTGTGTATCTGTGGACATGTGCACCTGAGTGCAGGTGCTAGTGAAGCCAGAAGTATTGGATGCCCTGGAGCTGGAGTCACAGGAAGAGGTTGTGAGCCATCTGACTTGGGTGCAGGGAATGGAACTTAGGTCTTGGGTCAGAGTGGCAAGTGTTCTTAACCACTGAGCCATCTCCCCAGCCCAATAAGAGTTTCTTAATACGGTTTGTTTTCATCTGTTGACTCTTCAAATAGATTGGAGCTCACCCGAAACTGATTACACCCAAAGGGTTACCCGCATTATAGTAGAAGGTCGGATAGACTTGGAAACAGATGAGGTCAAATCATTTGTTTTCTTTCTGCCAGTTTGCTTGTCCAAGTGTCCTTTGTTTCATTAGTGAAACGTTTACCTCTGGGGGTTTTGCAAAGAGATGCTTGGACCCCAGTCAACTCTCCCCTCCCCACAGGGTTTCTCTGTGTAGTTTTGGAGCCTGTCTTGGATCTCGCTCTGTAGCCCAGGCTGGCCTCAAACTCATAGAGATCCACCTGGCTCTGCCTCCCTAGTGCTGGGATTAAAGGTGTGCGTCACCACCGCCCGGCACCCCAGTCAGCTCTTAAAGTTGGACAGGGTGGAGCTGCACAGATGGACAGCAGCACAGATGGACAGGTGCTCTGTCACAGTCCAGGAGGCAGACTCCTCTGCTTTCTTCCCAGTGGTTTCTCTGTGGTTCTCAAATGCAGCCAAGATGATGGTCAGCTGATACGGAAGACACAGGAGACCCAGCAGCTTGAATGCAGAATGCCTTAGGTTTCCCATAGTCACTTTATCCACATACAGCAGCAGTAGCAGCAGTAATAGTAATAGTAATAGTAATAGTAATAGTAATAGTAATAGTAATAGTAATAGTAATAATTTACACTCATTCTGTATCAGAAAGCCTCTTCCCATTGTTGTTAGCAAAATGAAATCCTGGGTACCAATACAAATCCTGCATTAAATACAGTTTCAAAGTGGACAAATCAATATGTAAAAATTCTCTCATTTAAAACTGAGAACTCATCACAGAGACATTTTCGCAAAGCCATGTAGCTAGCGCATAAAGCTGACCTTAGACACGAACCAAGGTGTCCCGACTTCTCCAGATGACTGGCCTACCCTGTGTTGCCTCACGCGCAGTCTTTTAGCTCCCTCCTCTGCCATAGGTGTCATACTAAGCACAGAGGGGACAGCTGTGAACAAGATAGACAAGGGAATAGCAAAACAGGAGGAGGAGGAGGAGGAAGAACCAAAAGCAAGTTTTATTACTGTGGATTACAATAACTATCACACACACAAAAAAAAAAAGCAAATAAAGAAAGGTGACAGAAGCCATTGGGTCTGGAAAGCAGCAGATGTTTTCAGAGACAAAGCAGCCAGGACGATTTCTCTGAGGCCTGCAAAGGGAATAAACCACGGGAGGAATTAAATTCAGCACAGCTGAATAGCCCCTCACTGCGTCGTTATAATCCCGAGCCAGGTTGTATTCATAGCCCCAAGCCGGAACTCTTCCTTCCTTCCCAACATTGTCTCTCCTAGTCTTCTTATCTTAATAAGTGGGATAATCACGTTTTTCTTCTTTTTACATCTCTGTGTGTGTGCATGTGTGTGAGCACACATGCATGCAGTTGCCATGTGAGCCTTAGGCATCAGCCGTCACCTCCCACCTTATTTGAGACAGGTTCTCTTGGTTTGCCTATGCACACACTGGGACAGGTGAGCTGCAAGCCTCCAGGGATTGTCTTCCTCTCTGTCCCATCTCAACACAGAAGCGCTGGGGTTACAGACCTGTGCTACCACAGCTAGCTGTGTGTGGATCCTGGTGATCTGCACTCAGGGACCCAGGCTTACACAGCAAGTGAGCATTTTGCTTATTGAGACATCTCTCAAGCCCACTGTCATTCTCTCTGTCACTCAAGTCAAGTGGCGTTGTCCTTGACGCCTCTGCTTCATGTTTTACTTTACTTCGATGAGAATGTCCCCTCTTACAAACTCCTAGCACCACTGTCCTCATGCACTAACACTTCTTTATTTTCCCTTTCCTTTCCTCATTCTCTCTCTTTCTCTCCCTCCCCCTCCCCCCTCTCTGTGACACTGTTACTACCCCATGTTACACTGCATGCTTTCTGTGTTGTTTGTACATTTTCCTTTTTCATGACAATGTATGCTTTATAAATGCAGGAACTTGGTTTACATATTCATTGCTCTGTCTCAGATGCCTGAAGCCAAGTACAGCATATACTAAACACTCAATAAATATTGCCCAAACTCAGTGTGGGAAGGAAGATGGGATAAACACAATGAGTAGGAGGACCAAACTCTGAGTCAGTGCAACATTCAGAAATTCGATAAAGGAGAAGACACCAGGGTATAGAGGACAGTGAACCCCCAGCATCAGTGTGTATCTCAGACCAGAAAAGAAGGGGATGCCCATGTTGGAGGACATGCCCATGTTGGAGGACAGGAGAATGGGGGTTGTAGGCTTAGATGAGGACCCCAAATGGCTATTGAGGCCAAACAGAGTGTACGGGGTCAGATATCCTCAAGGAAGGCCCGAGAGGCCATTGTGTAAAGATGTGCAGGTGAAACTTAAGTTTCAGTGGAGGCTCCAGGATTCTGGAGATGTCTTGACAGTGAGATGTCCACTGAGGGAAGCTATGTGCAGAGAATGGAACATGTCCAAGAGAAGGCCTACGTGTGCCACCAGTAACCAAGCTGGAGGGGTGGGACCACCCAAGTCTTCTTAGAGAGCAAATGATTCCATCATGCGCCCCAGGTACCTAACACGGAGCTTTGGGACTCGGTGTTTGCCCTGCTGGGTTTCTGCCATGCTGAGTCCAACCTTTCCTTCCTATGCCTATATTTCTACCTGTTGGAATGGTACTACATACTCTGTCCCATTGCATCTCGGAAACAAGTGAGTAAAAGAAAATCTTTTATTAGATTTAAACATTTTTATTTGGTGTTCAAACACATGAGTATATATGTGTGTGGGTATATGCGTATGGGTACATGCATGCCACAGCATGTATGTGGAGGTCAGAAGACAACTTGTAGGAGTCGGTTCTCTCTTTCCATGATGTGGGCTCCAGGGATTGAACTCAAGTCACCAGGCTTAGCAGTAGGCACCTTTACCCACTGGACCATCTCTCTGACCCCTGTAATTTGATTTTTGGTGTTGTGGGGGCTCACAGTTAAGAGATTACTTGAGTCTCGAAAGTGGTCACACTTGCACTTTTTTATAGTGTTGGCATGGTTAAAGATGATAGAGATTCTTAAAGTTGGACTGAATGAATTTGCAGTATGAGATGACCATGAGCCTATGGAAGCAAGATATGGAAAATTATGACTTGAAAGCAGTATGTTTAGATGTCAAATTGATAAGAGGTAGACTTATTTATTTATTTAAATTTTGCTTTTGTTTTGTTTTGTTTGTTTGTTTGAGACAGGACTTCTCTGTGTAGCCCTGGCTGTCCTGGAACTTGCTCTGTAGACCAGGCTGGCCTCAAACTCAGAGATCCTCCTGTCTCTGCCTCCCAAGTGCTGGGATTAAAGGCATGCACCACCACCGCCTGGCAAAGGGTGGACTTTATGATGGTTAATATTGATTGTCAAATTGATGGAATCTAGAAGCACCTGGGAGACAAAACTCTGGGCATGTCTCTGAGGAAATTTCTAGATTACATTGAGGTGAGAAGACCCACCCTAACTGTAAGAAAACATTATTTCATGGGCTAGGTTCCAGAGGTGAATGAAAAGGAGAAAGCGAACTGAGAACAGGCATCCATCTCTCTCTGCTTCCTGACTGCTGATACAACGTGACCAGCCGCCTTCCGCCTCTGCCTCCACGTCTTCTCCACCACAGGGGACTGTCTCATTGACCCGTGAGCCCTCTTCGATCCTGCAGTTGTGTTTGCTGGTTATTTTCTCCCGGCAAGGAGAAT